CACGCTATTCCAGTGGCCTAAAATCATTTGGTGTTACTGTTAAGACTAGGTAAGTAAATAAATCCTAGCAATAATACCATTATTATGTGACGATAATTGGAAACTTTCAAGAATATTTTAACTTGTCGAATTACTTATCAATTGTTGTAACATTTGCATCTGAATCATTAAATAATATTTTAAAAGTAATGTTATGGAGAATGATTATATTTAACCGGCGATTATTTCCACTCTTCTTTTCTGTATAACGGTTTTCCTGTTAATAATCCTATATGAATTATCAATAAAAACAACTATTCTCTACAGATTATAAATTTGAAAATAAAATATTTCGACCTTTCCTATGATTATAATACCGATCATGAATGTAGCATAATAAACCTGATTATATTCTAGCAAAAATTTCCAAACTCTTCCATCTGTTTTGTTTTTAATAATGATGTTTTTTTTATATATATACATTTTATAAGAAAATTTCGAATTCAGTTAAATTTCATTTTGATCTTTTTGTAACCGTTTTATATTTCATTCACAAAGATTTGAAGTAATAGTATATGAGTTATCCATATTGTATAATTCGTTCTTTTCATTTTAACGAATAAATTTTTATAAGGATTAAGCTAAAATGATACGATTATAATCACTATCAGTGTTATATAGTGATAAATTGATAACATTAAGAATTACTGTTTTTTTTTTTCCCAGCTTAACATATTATCCCAACAAAAGATATTATGGTAATAGTGTATCATCATTCCGTCTCAACATTTCATTCGATAATAATCAATCACATAAATTGTAAAACAATTGCTATTAAGAAATGAAACGACGTTTGTTTTTCAAAACAAAATTTAAATATCCTAAACATAATAGATATATATATGCGTTCCCAAGCAATTAATTATTCATGAAACGGCAATTATGAGGTGATTGATTGTAAGTTTAAATTTCTGAGAAAGATAGTTAATACATAAATAGTTTATGAAATAACAATAATAAGAGAATTGAAAAAGTGAGAAATTGAGAAAACTAAAATTAAATGGAAATGAATTCATTATGAATATCTTTAAAACAAAAGAATGAAAAAAAAAAAGCTGGCAACTAACTATTTTATCGTTTGTGAATTTTATGTTTGAAGGAGTTGGATAAATTTAATAGCAAAATATGAAATTAACAAAATAAACAATAAGATATATCATTTTGTTATTTTCAATACATTTCAATTCGACCAACTATATCATCATCATCATCATCATTATCATTTCTTCCCACTGATCTTTTAACAACTGCTAAAATAAAAATTGCAAGTTGTAAATTTGTTTAAAAAGCTAAAAATTACCTAGAAGCATTATTAGTGTTTAGTAAACAATAAACAATAGTATTTTCTTTGAAGTAGTTAAAATGTAAATAAAAAAAAATCAAAGAATCGTTATGAATCAAAAATTTGAATATTTGAAAAGACATACATGAAGCTAAAATATCGATATCCTTGAAGCATTCCTTTTGAATATCATCGAAAAACAATGGCCTTGATTGCTTAATGAATTTATTAACATTGCAAAATTTCGCTGAATTTCCACATCCAGGAGCAAATTTCGTTATATCACGTGGATTTTCATCCCATTGATTTGCATACAACACCTTAACAGTAATTTTATCATTTAAGTTATAATCAAATTTTCCATGTAAGTAATGAAATTAGCAGTATTATTATTATTATAACTGGAATTCCGATTAATGGAAATTTCGATGAAAATACTTCAATTTAAATTTCTTTGTTTTTATATTGCCTTCCTGGTAAATTAATTAAACCGAACTTTCATTTCATATAAATTATCATTCTTCCAAATTTCGAATGCAATATAAGCACCGAAACCAATTAATGGTGATTTGCCCAAAATCGAATCGATATCGCTAAATGTTGACAATATTGAGGCAATTGTCATATCATGCTGAAAAAGGTAAGCCTTTAATTATAAAACATTAGTCATTAGATATTTAATACTTTATAATAAATTCAAAAAAAAAACAAATAAAACATTTTTGAATTCATATAAAACCATTTAAAAATGTCTAATAGTCTTTAAAATATCAGAAGAAAAATTTTTTCCCATATTTTAGTATGAATATAACTTTGTAACTAATTAACTTCTAAAGTATAATTAGCTTCTATCCTTGAAAGTTGAAAATATTACAACGAAAAAATTATGAGAAAAAAAACATACAGCTGAAAGTCCATAAAATCTTTCATTACATGAATCTACCGCTTTCCATTCTGAATAATTTACTTTACAAGCTATTCGGCTAACAACACCACGAAGAGTACTTCCACCTTTAAAAGTTAGTTTTTTAAAATAATAAAATTTCCTGTAAATTTCAATTAGTTTCTACAAGCAGAAAAGAAGTTAATAAATAGCGAAAAAAATTCCATACCTGACAATTACAAAATAATTAATAACTTTTCTAATTATTAATAGAAATCTTTCATTGGATCAAATTTTGATTTAAATGCATACCTCGCATTTTTCTCTGTAATTCATTACTATATGGTTCCATACCAAGATGTGCTTGAAGACCACTCCAACTCAAATATTTCAATTTTTCATACAACTCTTCACCTTTCATCCATTCCGGCAACACCAAATCATGTTCTCTCTATAACTTTTAGCTTTTTAATTTAATTATATAATAATTAAGAATTTTAATTGTGACTCAAATAGGCTTTTAAAATAATAAAATTAATACAGTGACTGAATTGTTTTATGTTTTGAGCGCAAAAGTAAACGAGTACCATAGCGCATTAAGTCTTACTACCTCTAGGAATGCAATATATATATAATCCATAGAATTGCTCACCCATTATCCATTAAAATGTAAATAAAATGTAAATTGAAGTATAATAGATTAGCGGTATTAAAGTATTTCCTTATCGAATGATAAATGATAAGGCATAAAGTGATAATTACAAAATCATTATTTTAGATTAGAAGAGGTCACACATATACATGCATACAAATGAAGAATAAAATTTAATCACCAGGCAATTGAGGGTATCGAATAAAAGATATGGATCCTTGCTATAGTTCAGCTCTCGTTCCATTAATTCGTATATTTCCTAAAATTTATTAACTTATAATAACTATTCAAAAATGATAAGCTTATTTTTGACAAAGGATAATATTTCGAATGACAAATCAATTTTGTAAAAATGAATAATTCGAATTCAAAATTTTTCATTAACTTACACTGAAATTTTCTCGCTGCATATAATGTATACGTTGATCCTTAACATATTGCCTTGCAACAGGACAATCAAAAAGTGGATTACCAGCCTGAAATAATAATAATGATATATGAAATGATACGGTAGAAAATTAATTTCGATAAATTTCCATAAAGCATACCGAATCAACACTGGTCGCTAAATCAGTGTTAATTTTGATATTAGGATAAGACATTCCTTTGAGAACATTTTGCGCTGTTTCGATCGTACGATTAACATTTGTACTACGAATATAAATCTGAAAATAATGTTTTGATTGATTGAAATTATTGCACCTAACAATTTTCTGTTAACGTACTGTTTGCAATTGTCTTCAGAAACTGACTTGTAATTTCTAAATAACAAGCCGTTCAATGATCAATAAATTTCAAACTATTGGTGAATTATTGTATATTTGAAAAGACTGTTCCGAATTCACATCAATCATTTAATATTTTTGTACAGTGAAGACTTTACTTGGCATAGATGCAAGAAAGTTAAAAAATGGACCGTACCTGTTCCGGTGTAATGTTTTTGGGATGAATGTAACGACGTCGTAATATCATACCCAATTCTTCACTTTGTTTTGCACCATTCTGTAACCACAAAATTCAAACTTCTCTCTTTCGACGAACAATTTTGCAATATCAATTAAAAAACTAAATAAAATTCGTATGCAAAAAAATTGATCGTTAATTAGGATAATTTGTATAATAAAATTGGATTATCTTTTGGTGAAAGCTTACTTTTGTTAAATTTTCAATACCATTTGGAAAAGCAATCATATATTTATCAGTAAACTTTGGAAAATAATGAATAGGTGCTCGATCACCATGTCGCCATATCTATAATAGATTTATTGAAGTGAACTTAAACTGCCTTATTTTAGGCCCAATAGTTTTAATTTTTCAAATCAGGAATATCATTGAATATATATGAATGAGTCATTATTAAATTTTCATTTTAAATTTAATCAAAAATATTGCGACATTTTGGTAATTCTGCAAATCTTCAAAAATCAATGCTAGTAAAAATAATTCAGAAGACATGCAATTTATTAAGGTAAATTAAATAAACTAAATATACGATACTAAATATACGTTTAAAAAAAAAAAAACTAAATATACGATATTTTGTATTCAAATTATAAACTAAATATACGATATTTTATATTCAAATTAATTCTATCGACATAAATTTCCACTTTTTGTATATTCTAATTTTTTTTTGTTTACAAAATTAATTAATAAATATTATGCTACGAACCATATTAATGTAAACAAGTTCGGGAGGTGAGTGAATTGGGACAAGAAATTTAACAACTGCAATAGAAGTTAATGCTATAGCTATGATTGAAGCGGTAAAAATAATGGCTTTTGTTAAATTCCGCCTGGGAAGAGAATTTTGCTGTTTTGAAACCGTCTGATCATCTTTTCTTGCTTCTTCAATTTCCACTGCTGAAACTTTTTCATTGGCATAATCGTTGCAAATATCTAAACTTTAAACAGAAAGAAATTCATTAAAAAATTATGAAAAACAAATTCAACAAAAAAAAAAAAAAACCTTTGAAAAGGTATTTTAAAAGGTAAGCAAAAGTTGGCCTCTTTGAATTCAAGCGCTTTCCAAAAATATTTCAATAAATCAAAATTATGTAATTCAATTGATTGAATTTGAGAAATTAAAACCTGAATGAGCCGATTCTTCTAAAGGATAAACTTTTGATTTGTTTATAGTTCTACCAAGTATTCCACTGTTATCATTTCCTTCATGATGATTTGATATTGCTGAATCCGTGCCTACCGCTGACATTATTATAAGAATGTCAGCACCTAAATTTTTTTTGTTTGAAATATTAAAATTGTTAGTGATACAAGATGAATCAAGCATATGGTATCATAATTTAAACGAAAATCGGAAATTTTAAAATGTCTTTTTCGGCAAAATTTTAAAGGGTCATTAAAAGGTTAAAAAAATATGACGATTAATTCGTTTACAAAAATTGTTGCAATGTTCGATGAAAAAGTTTGTTTTTTAAAAATTACAGCTTTGGTGGAAAAAGTAAAATTTTAAATGTTCAATTGTAAAATGAAATATTTCATCAAATTTTTTTAACATAAATTTTCTTTCATGCAACAAATTTACGTAGTAATAAAAACCTGTTTTACTTTTACTACAAAAGCAAACTTTTGAATTTCCTTTTGAAATAAGTATTGTAATTAAAAAAGTTCGGAAAGAAACATAGTGTATGGGAAGTTTGAAAAATGTTATTGATAATTGTTTTGGCAAGATAAAGTTGGCACGATAAAGCTGAAGGTTAAATTTTAATTAAAACAAAAAGATTCCATGCTTCAATTAATTGTTTATTTATGATAAATTTATGACATGTTACTATTTCAGAAATGCTTTACCGATCCTATTATATTCTCTATAGCTGTTCTCATCATTTCATTAACTGATTGACTGATTAATTAATTGACTAATCAATTAAACGTCTTTTTTGTTTTCATCTTCATAAAATGAAATATAATACAACAGATATTTGTATTTGGAAAGCATAAACAAATGAAAATGTGGATGATGGCACGATAAGATAAATTTGATTTCTGATGTATGACAAGATGGAAATGGTAGTCAGGTATCATTTGATAAATCGGACAGAGAGACTAACTTTAAAACTTTGCTGACAAAATGAAAACAGGTTTAACTTCTTGTGTATCCTTCAAAATTCGATCTTATCTTTGCAGTAAAAATTTTTTGCAGTAATCATTTTTTGCAATAATCAATCGTATGATTTCTATAATTTAAGGCATAAAAATTTAGAAGCTCAAAGAATGCTTATTACTACTTTTAAAATTAACATACCTATTTGCATATATGATATAACTTAGCACAAGCATTATTTTTGAATTTTCTTTATTTGCAAAAATTTCAATACTAGCTGCTTTACAACATGATAATTTAATATTTCTGATAAACATACGATAGAAGTGATAAGTCGTACAACAAAAAAAAATTGTCGTACAACATTTTTAGCAAAATTTTTCTTCATGCTACAGTAATCATAATTTTATTCTTCATCTCATACTGATCACAATTTTGTAAGAACAAAAAAATAAATGATTTATTAGAATTTACAGCTGATTCGTTTGCAAATAATTTTTATCGTCAGATACTTATTTTGGCATAATATAATGATATTAATTAGAATGATTATAACTTTATAATTTCACTCTTATAACATTTTATAATTTAATGAAATTCAATGAAATAATAATAAGTACATGTAATATTGAAAGTTTTGTGTAATTTAAAATAAAAAAATTTTTTGTTGTAAATTTTCTTCTTTTTCTTCTTTTTGCAACAATTAAAAAAAATACTTCGAAAAGATTGAAATTTTGTTGAGGAAAAATTTATGTGTTGAAATTTCCTCATCATTTATAACTAACTAAATTTCCATTTCCAACAATGGAAATAGTTTAATTCAAAAAAAACAGAAAAGAAAAGAAAAGAAAAATGGGAAAAAGTTGTCAATAAAGCTATAGAGCTATAGAGCTATCTACTACTTTATCATATGCTTCATATGATAATGATGTAAATTTATTTCAATTAAAAAGATGTATTATTTAAAAAAAAGGGTGAAAAAGTTTTTTGTGGAAAATTGTGGTTAGTGTAGTATGGCTTTTATTTCAAACGAAAAACTTTTATTGGATAGTTTTAAAAAAAGAGGAATGAATGAAGGAAGGAAGGAAGGAAGAATAAATGTTTGTTTAGTATAGGCGATAATGTAAAAGGATGAAATTGTTATCAATACTTTCAATAAATATTAATGTTTTTGGAAGTTATTGACAGACAATAACTTCCAAAAAAAAAAGAATCAAAAGTCATTAAAAGCGAATTAATTTGTTAGAAAATATTAATATCCCACAAAAAAATTATTAATGTAATTTGTTGAATTTTAATTTAAATTTTAATCGATCATAAAATTGCTTGAAAACCTTTAATCATCTACAAGTTATAAAATATAATTGTAAGAATTATCTTTAAAAGAAAATAAAACTACAAATATGAATTGTTAATGCATTAAGATGTACAGTAAGTAAGGTGTAATTTTAAAAATGATTAATTAAAAAGTGAATAATTAATTGAAATTAAAACAAATAAAATTACTTAAAATTTTAATTTTTATAAAATCGTGTGATTGGTTTATCTCTAAAAGAAAATAAAACTGCAACCATGAATTGTTTAATGCATTAAATTGTATAGTAAAGGTGTAATTTTAAAATGATCAATTAAAAATGAATAATTAATTGAAATTAAAACAAATAATTTATAATACTTGTAGTTATTATAAGAGGTTAGTTTTTCAAATTAAATTTAAGACAATATATATATAAAAACTGTAGTAATTGACTGTAGTAATTTTAACTGTAGTAATTCAGTTACTACAGTTAATTGTAGTATTTTAACTGTAGTAAACTGTAGTAATTCAATTACTACAGTTAATATATATATATATAAACTGTAGTAATTGAATAATATCAGTGGTTTGAAATTTGATTTAAATAATTGCCAACAATGAAAAGAAGAAAATGTAGCAAAACGGAAATGTAGAAGAGTGACTGTCATTGATACAATGAAAATGCGCTTATGTGAAAAGTAATGAAAAATACAATCGTTTGTTGCAATTGTAAAAAATTCAACTAAAAATGATTTTTAGTATATGGCTACTAAAAAAATGATATATTTCATATATTTATATTTATATATATATATATATGATGATACATACGTTTGAACATGCTTTGGTAAACATTTTCAGCCGATCAAAGGTTAAAAGTAAACGATAAAAAAGTTCTGTAAGATGGAAGAGATAAAAGATTTGATAATATAAAATATTTCGTAGATGAATAAAACGACTATATATCAATTTATATAATGTGATAGGTAAATAAAATGAGTGAAGAGAAAATGGCAAAACTGTTTTAAGACATTTACTTTTATCGTTTTATATATATATGAAAGTAGTATACTAAAGATATTTCGTATGTAATTTAGCTTTCTTTAACGAAGAGTGCAACAAAAAAGAATAAGAGGGATTCATTCATTCGTTATTTGCAACTTAAATAGATATACTGAAAATGTTGTTGAAACGAAAAATAAGTGAAATATTTTCAATTAAATTTCAACCAATGAAAAAAGTAAAATGAAAATATGATTGATTGATCGATTGATTGATTTGCTTAAATTTTATATATCAATGTTAATTGTGAATCAAATTTTTGTTCATAGAATAGAGGATGAATAAATGAAAGTGTCGTGGAAATATTCGATCCGGATGTATTGAAAATATTCTATCCGGATGTATTGGAAATATTCTATCCGAGTGTATTGGAAATATTCTACCTGGATGTATTGGAAATATTCTATCCCGGATGTATTGGAAATATTCTATCCGGATGTATTGAAAATATTCTATCCGGGTATATTGAAAATATTCTATCCGGAAATATTTTTTATTCAATGCAGATAATTGATAATATTAGTAAGATTGCTAATAGCCATTTGAAGTTTAAATTGTTTGATCAGTTATTGTTTGAAAATATTTTTGGAAAAATTTTCACAATACTACCAATTGAATTTAAATTTGCTCAATTAAATAGAAGTGATAAAGTTTAATTGAAATGATAAAGTAAAAATAATTGTTGATAAATAAATAATTTATAATTAAAAAATAATTTATATAATTAAAATTTATCACAATGAAATATTTCAACAAATTCAAAAACGAAAAAGAAGCCAACAATTGAAAACAAAGAATATTTTTATTTTAAAAATCAAAAATTAATGAGAGATAAGCATTTGTATCGTATGATATATGAATGAATGATAATACGCTGAGTAGAAGTTAATGATAATTATTTAAATATATTTTCATTAACTGAATTCTACTCTCTCAAAATACCTCAATCATTTCATTACTTTCTACCTTATAATGAATATCAGTAAATTACTTTCAAAAATAATAACAATTAGAACTTATATTACTTAAAATAAAAAGTTCACTAATGAAAAGGCACATTAAATTTCAAAGTATTGATTCTCTATCCTATCAAAGAATATAGTAATTGTTGAAAAAAAAACAATCATACATATAGTTATCATATTTATCATCTAAACTATCAAAAATAATTTTTGGTTAAAAATTGTTTCCTCAAATATTCTGAAGTATAAATTTTTGCAGGCAGCAATTTTCTTTATTTTGAAATTTCAGAAAAGAGAAATTCGTAAGAAAAACAATTGATGAGTAAAATTTGCTTTTATTTTAACTGCTAAATATGTTAATTATTAATTAAATTAGTTATTAATTAAAAAAAATATGATATGCTAGTATTAACTTCAAATTTATTAATTAAATTAAAATAAACTGAAATTCTAATAAATAAATAGGGAAAAATGCTTCCGTGAATTTTTCGTTATCATCGAATTATGAAAAAGAACGATATCGTAAATATGCACAGTTGGTAAAACTATAAAGAAATTCATTCAACTATAAAACTGAAAATATTCAAACATAAAACTCAACTATAAATTGTTCTAATATATAAGCTGTCAATATGTACTACAATCATAAAAATTGTGAACTTATTGAAAGAGTTCGAATTTAAAATTGATGAAGTAGAGAGAAAGAGAGAGGGAAAGAGAGGGAAAGAGAGAGAGGGAAACAAAAAAACAAGATAAAAACTTTCAAAGAATTCATATAAAGAACCGCTAGAAAAAAAAATAAGGACAGACGAATTGTTGATTACAACGGCCAATCGAAAGGGTATTTGCACAAACTGCTCCATTCTATCTGTAACAATGACCTTTGACCAGTGTAATATGCAACAGTTGAATCAGTAACTGCATTTTCATTTCTTTCCCTTACAGAGAGTCAGAGAAAAGGTCAAATATTAAAATGACACATATATTAAGATGATTAATGAAGAAGAGGAGGTTTGGCTGTTTACCTCTGCTCCATAACAATGCTATTAAAGGTTGAAAAAAAAAATTCGTTATAATTAAAAGAATAAAAATAATCCAGGTATACTCTATCTACCTGTAATAGGATATGAAATTAAACTAAAAACATCAAATAATCTGTTCCTAAACTATAAACATCAAAAAAAGGTGTGAATATTTAAATGGTGATTGCGTTCCTAAAACTACAAACATCAAATAACAATGTTATAAACATCAAATAACTAAATTTAAAAACAACAGAAAAGGTGTGAATATTCAAATGGTGATAGTGTATGTCGATGGTTCAACAAATATTCGATTAAAATTCAATTAATCTAATTTCGATTTACATCTAATTGTATTTTAATCATTTGGAATAAGTTATTTTGATGATAAAATGTGACTAATGAAAAACTAATGATATATTAATATTATAGAATAAATATTATTTTAGTTTAATATTTATCATTGCAGAAATCAGTTTAGTATCATTTTATCAATATACTATCATTATTGCTTGTATTGCATAATTTGAAATTAATTCCAAAATGTATAGACAAGTTTTGATGATTTCAAAATGCATATTATCATCCCATAATCAGTAGTTTTGGTATCATTTGCATGTGCAAAAAATATATATATAAGTTTATCGTTTTTGCAAAATGAAAACTTCGAAATTTAAAATTGATGTTTAAAACTGATTGAAATGAAAAATTACAATGGAAAATATTTTTTTTGCATAGTTAATTATGAATGGATTAAAGTTTGGAAAGAGTTATGATTTTAATGAATTGTATATGACAGCAAAATATTGTCAATTGAATCATTGATATCACTCAATTTTGGGGAGAGTTTATATTTTAAAAGGAATAATAATAAATGTAAAAGTTTTAAAATTAAATTCAATTGATTTCAATTAAGCTCTCAGACATTTAAATTTCAAATAACTTTTTTTTTATTGAAATTTATAGGAATTAAATTCGATAATTTTAAATTCGGAAATTCTGAAAATCGAGTTTTAAACAAATTCTGCGGTAAATTTTTCGACGATAGTAATATCAAATGGTTATTTCAAATTTTGTATTTTCCAAAAACTCATAGTTATGATATTGTTTCAGGAAAACAGATCACACAGAGGCAAATATATCCGCTATTATCATAAATACTTTGTTCTCTTTTTAGTAAATATTATAAACAAAGTAAAGTATTCATTTCTACAAGTAGACGATGAGATTCGTCGATGGATTAAATTTCTCGCAAATTGGCTTTATCATATCTTCCAATAATACTTCACTCATATCTAACTTAATGACAGACACATCTACTCACAATTATTTTATCATAGAAAATTCAAATTCTTGGGAAATTTTATTTTCAACAAATGGCCTCTGTATATTTGTGCAAAGAATTCATTCTATGATCAAACCAATAAATTTCTATTTTTTGTTCAAGCACGGTCCAGGATAAATTTCGGTCAGAATTAAAAAATGTTACCTTGGAAAAGGTCCATCAATTAGCTTATTCATTAGCAATACAAAAAATCGATCTTTGAGGTAATTTGTAAATTCGTCGATTACCTTTTCTGATATACTAGGCCCAATTTGAAAGTTCAGCTGATATGTATAGCATAGTCTCTGATATGACTATATGTTATGTGTATGTTATATATATGTATGTATATGTTATATATGTTATATATGTTATACTATATGTTATATATAGACTAATATGTTATGTATAGTCTCTGATATGACTGATATTACAGTCCATTTCTACACGCTAAATTTTTTTGTATATTTTCAATAAATGTAAATTTAACTAATACTAATTATAAATATGCGAGGTGTATTATATTGTAAGTTTAATATAACAAATTAGAGGATTTATATTTGCAGCGTGATAGTGATAGAAATAACTATTCTAATTATTTTTATGTGCACTTTTTGTTTGTATATATTTGTTGATCATAAGAGTGAATAAAAAAATTTACGATCAATTTCATGATGAAATCATTAAGCAGAAACTGTAACATGCAAAACTGTTAAGTTAACTTCTTTGTTCTCTTTGAGGTCAAAAATTTTAAAGTAATTTTCATCATTTAAAGTGAGTCAATTTTTGGAGTGATGAATATTTAAGCACAATGGTAGTTGCTAATTTGCTTTTGCAAATCAAAAACTTTTTGAGATGAGTATGAGAAGATGTCATTTGCAGTACAATCACATTCTGCAGAAAGAATATAAAGAAAGCGTCAAATTAATTTGTTTATTATATCGTTGAAAAATAGTATATTAAAAGAAATCAAATATCAAGTAGAGTAGCAGAAGAAGAAGAAGTATTATCGTAGTCTTGTAACTGAAGTACCAATTTCTCTTCGGATTCTCTTTAATGAGAATCACTTCAATAATGGACAACAGCTACTACCGATCCTTTCTCCTTTTAAGAATAATATTACATAAGGGATATATGATCAATCATAAATCTTATCAAAATTTCCTATTTCATTTATGAATCGTTAATGTAAACATGGCGGTTTAGAAAAATACTTTAGACATGGATTTATAACTTATTTTAGTTTACTTATTAGATTTTCATAACATTCTTGATGATAGCATCAGAACAATTACGGTGTCCATAAGTGGGCTTTTTCTAAGTGAAGTATCATTGAAGTTAATGTAAGATATCTGAAAATTTTTTAGTTCTTTCAAAGAGAAAATACTGCCATATTAGTTTGTAACGATTATATTTAAACTTAGTTTTATTTATCAAAACAAATGGTGAAATGTAGAATTGCGCATTTGAAGGAATGATAAGTTATTTAGATAAATTACTGTCGTGATTATGTAAACTAATTATTACATAGTTATCTTAGAAAGGTTGAAATTTTGAAGTTTCTTTCAGCATCTGATTGCCTTACTTTTAAGTTCCTCGATTCAGGATGTATATTTATGAGTCATCCTATAAGAATCATGCAATTTCAATTATTTCAAAATCAAATAATATTAGTTTTCATTAAGAGATATAGGGTACACTTTAAACTGGCAATCAAATTCAGTGAACTGATAAAATGATACTAAGCTGATTTTGAGATCAGTCATTAAGTGAAAGAAATGTGAGGAATGAAACTGTCATTTATAAGGTATCTAATTGCTTTGCTTTTAAGTTTCTCGATTCAAAATAAATGACAAGAATTTATTAAATTTAACCATAAAGTGGAAATTTTTTCGTAATTTCATAAAAATATATACTATTCAATGTGTACATTAAATTATGCAATATTAATATAGCCTAAGGCACTTTATTGCATTTCCTCATTAGAGGCCTGCAATGACAGTATCTTTGGAGTGGCTCGAAAAAGAAATGATATCCAACTAAACCAATAATGTAACGAGCTGGGGGCGTGCCCTACTTAGCTACAGATGCTTTTAGGTAAGTCATCATTAGCTTTCGATATCATTCATTTCACCGGGGAATCTTGCAGGAAATTGGAGGATTTTGAAGGTTTAGATAAAGATTGGAATGGATACTGTAGCTTTATTTCAATGGGATAAATTTTAAGTGAAACTTTTGTCAAAATTTAGTACAGTATGAAATAAAATTATAATATTTAATTTTTACTGTATTCTTATTTTTGTATTTTCTATTGAATAATTTAAATATTTTTATTTGATCTAATGAAGAAGAAATTCTCTTTTTATCTCACTTCTTTAACGAAATCCTGAATTTTAACAATATTGTCACAGTGAATCACTAAAATAGCTAATCTCATCTTGCAGTCAGAAATAAAAGTTAGTTAGGAAATGAGGAAAATTAAAACTTTGTTAAGTTTTGAACATTGATTGTTATCACTTCTACATTTTAATACTGTAATTCTTAAGTGTTACTTTAACAAACAAATTAATAATTTGTAAACATTAACGGTTTAAATGATTGGGCAGTAAGATGATGCTAAATTTCATTGATATCATTTTGTGCTAAATTATTGTTTGACATCTGTTTTAAAATCTGTTCAAATTTTAGATTTTAAAATCTGTTCCAACAAATGAGCCTAAATCCAACTAATCTATCACTAGGTGGACTCGGTCCTAGTAGTATAGAGCAAATCCTACGACTTCGGCAAGAACGTAATCAACGGATACCGAAATGTGCCCGTTGTCGGAATCATGGCACTGTTTCAGCATTGAAAGGTGAACAAGCAATAAATGCTAATAATAATTAAAAATTATTCACACACAGTTTAGATTTATCAAATATACCACTAATTCATTGGTTCGAAAAAAAAGTTGTCAATAAGAAATTTGTGATGTTCAAAAAGGTTGTAAACTTTACGGGATAAATTTCTATGATAATGGAATAGCACCACTATTTTAATAATCAAATTAATGATTCACGAACATTCGAAACTTTGAATTATTTCATTATATTTAGCAAAAATAAGTATTTAAAATATTCTTAAATTTTAATGCTTATAATGAAATATTGAAATTATCAGAAATCGCTAATCATAAAATATTTTTGGAAATTTTCAAATAACGCTAATATCTTGAAACTGTTTCTAGGACATAAGCGTTACTGCAAATGGAAAGATTGTTTGTGCGCAAAATGTACACTAATTGCGGAACGGCAAAGAGTGATGGCAGCGCAAGTTGCGTTACGACGGCAGCAAAGTCAGGATGAGAAAGAAATTAAAGATTTAGAAATATTGCTGGGTGTCGAAAGAGGTCTGTTCTTTTCATTCATTTTTCCCTCTCTTCTGTTTTACATTACTTTTATTAAATTAATTGCTACAGTAAACAATAAACAATAAACATTAATTTAGAGTTAATTTTTTGCACAATTAATTTACTTGTTATTCTGTATCGTTTAATTTCAGCTGGAAAACTATTAAAATTCATACGACAAGGTGAAACAACTACCAGCGACAGTAGAAGTGAAGGTGTACTTTGTGGTGGACCGTCACTTGAAGAAGGTTATTTGTTGTATTTTGAATTTTATTCTATATTGAAATTGTTATTCAATGGAGAAGTATTGTCGTCATTTAATCAACTTCAAACATTTCTTCTCTAAATCACTCATAATAGCGGATCGCCTTTAGCGAGTAATTTTTAGCGCAAAAATGAATTGCTTATGATCCTATTTAAAATAATACGATCGACTGATTGGCTTCTAAATACTTTACTTGCTGTTTTAGACATTACAACAGACTCTGTAGTATTTCCACATTGGTAAATGCATGCTTCATTGTTGTTAGCAATACTTCACCAAAGGATTTTTACAATATTTCCTCTTTTATAGTACCTGTCCGAGCTGTCTTGTTATTTTTCTGTTCCAATCAGTGAACATCTTTTTAATTTGTTAAAATAAGGGTTATAAGGTAATATAACGACTATAGTTGTTAATGATTCTCTCCTTTTTCTTAAGGAACTAGCTGTGAAAGTAAACATATTACACTGAACATTGTACTTCGTTGACCGTTTCTCTAAAGAAAACTACTCAGATTACAGTTTTACTGTTTGCTAATATAATTCAAACAAATCAACCGAATAGGCCAAAAGTACAGATTTACCATAGACAATAATTGGATAAATGGCCTGAGATATTTAGATAAATGCGAGCCTTAAATAAATGATTAGTTTTGTAAAAAATCCGGAAAAACGGATGAAATAGCAAGAAGGACACTATCTTTGTTATTATACGATTTTCAATTATCGAATGTAAATAACAATCAAGTACTGTCATTTGCTGCATAAGTACAATATGTATGTGTAGATAAGTAAACAGGATGAGGATGAGTAAACGAACACAATTTGTGACCTATAGGCATATATATACATTCTAGCAATTACATGTACCATATTAGATTGCAGCATAACATGACAATTAATTTCAACAAATGGATATCACAGTTTGCTGGATAAACAATTAGAGCATAAGTAATCAATATGATAAGTTGAAAAGTTGAATTAAGTTAATCATGGTAATTCAATCTATGTTGTCACAACGCTACATATGAAATTGACATAATCTTAAAAAGTTGATAGGAATATAAATTAATTAATTTTGAATTGATTTGTCAATTATATGGTAACAGATGTTAGACGTTATTCCATTTTGAGAAGAATGTGATCCCAAGATAGAATTTTGATTAATTCCTACCAACTTAATAATATTGCTTGTTTTGTAAATAAACAATGAATTATTCCGCAGATAATACGCTATTTGCACTGTCCTGCTAATCCTGACCTTTTTAATGACCTCTTCATTATCATTTTCTTTTAAGAAATAAGGTTAAATATTGTAGTTACTATTTTATTTTACTCTTCATTTCATTTATAAATTCTCATTTTTGGTGGCGGTAAAATTTTCTGTCGAAATAATAAGCTTTGCCAGTAAGCAAAAATGTTTAATGAGCTCATAGGGGATTAGCGTTAATCGAAAACATATTAGTACCGCAACTGCCAGAAGGTCAGTTGAATGACTCTCTGTTAAACAAAGGTCATCAAAGAATCAAATCAACAATCAAAATACAATTAATTGCATATATGTATTCCAGCAGAAATTGTTCACGGAAGGATTATCCTTGAATCATGAGAATTATAGGCAGATGCCCCTCTTTTTCTGCTACTCTTCTTAGGAATGGCGCAATAGTTAATTATTATTTTAACTACATCCTAACTACAGTTATACTACGCTCAAGCATTTTAAATTTGACAATTTGCAGAATCACATTGTATTTGTTTAAGGATTCAAATTTATCTTAGAAATGTGATAATTCTCAATTTTGGATGATTAATTAATATATGTATATTTTTCGGAGTTCATTTCAGAAGTCAAAATAATTAATCTGTCTATTAACGCGTTGTAATCAATTATCCAAAATTATCAGCAGCACATTATTTCTTTCACTTTAATTTTACAATGATTAATATAGATTGAGTAAATACTTACATTTGAGTCAGTTTTAAATTTTAAAAAACATTGGCATTTCAGAGGACACAACGAAATCGCCGCAATTAATCGATTTGCCATCAACATCATTAATAAAACCGAAGATATCTTCACCAAATACATCTACCAGTCAGGAACATCCACCATTTTCATCAGCAAATTCACGTCGACGATCTGGAAACAATGATATAGTGGACCCGGAAAGCAATAAGGTTTTGACTAAATTTCAATTTGTTCAAAATATGCTAAAAATATTATCAGAATTTTTTTAAAAAAAGTACAACACTCCGTAACAAAGATTTTTGAAGCAAAAATTATCCGTAAAATCGTATTATATTTTATAGTCTCGCTCACCACTTGCTGTAGCAGAACCTACCGAACTTCAACAACCGATTTGGTCTGCGCAATGGTCAAATCCATTGAATTTTTGCATTCAACCGTTGACACCTCTTCCGTATCGGCCGCAACATTTTGGACAAAGTAAAGATTTTTCAGTAAGTATGGAAACCAAAGAATAAGGATAAGGGGGCAAATCATAAAATGTGGGATATTCATTTGAACAGTAATAATGATATTATTATAGCAATTATAATAACATCAGGGTTCTAAAGTCTTTACATACTATCCAGAATCGTACAATTTTTCATCAACATAACTTTTCACTTCAGTTATAAGATTAAAATCCTAGCAAATAAACTCTAAAATCTTTGCTTGTGCCATATAACAACGCCTGTCTTAACCAAAATAATAATAATAATGATAATAATGCAAATAAATCCAATGATTATTATTTGCTTTTCTTCAGCTGTTTTCCCATTCGGCTTTGGTTGTTATCCTATCAATCCAACTATGCTATACGCGAAATCTCCATTTTCCAATATGCCTGAAGGTACTCAATGCATATTCGCAATTCCTACTTTAATCGATATCAATCTCTCGAACTGGAAGATCGAACTCAAAACTCTTTCTTTCTCTCTAACATATTTTGCTTAGTTCCTAACTGTCTATTAATTACTTTACATTTCTTTTGTTTATAAAGACGCAAATTTATGGAAGAAATAACTGCCCATACTGAGCTAGTTGCAGGTGCAATTCCACAAATAGCATATCCATGTGATAGCACCACACCTCAATCCCCTACACAGTTCCCGTACAATTCGCTTCCACCACTGCCACCAGTACAAGTAAATCCTTTGGATTATCGACAACATCTCAAAACTTCCAACTCGAATGAAGACCTCCTTGATGAATGAAATCAACAACTATCTTTTGTAATAAAAACTTTATGTATAATTATTTATGAATGTTAAAAACAATGAAAGAACGCAATATCCGATTCGCAATAATGCGGTTCGAATATGAAGATTGTACAAATTAATTATGAGTATTGTACATTTTCCCGTCAGTGAAAAAAACAATCCATTCTATAGACTAAGGCAATTGCATAAGGAACAATCTCGTAATTTTATTAATTCATAAACTTTCATTTTGCGGAGCACCAGCCATATAGTCTTGCTTTTGAATCAATCTTGGATAACATGTTTGAAGATGATTCCATACATAATAAAGTACAATTTCATGCCACGGATGTATCGTTGTAATTCCATTACCAAGTCTGCATTTCTCTTTCATATTCGTCTTCTTCAAAAAACGGCTTATCGATCGAGCTGGACAAAAGAATATCCATCAGTTTTTAAAGTGAGATTAATGCTCAAGGATCACCCACAGTTATTATTTGAAACTTCAGCGGTATGTATAATCCGATGAAAAATCGCCTTCGAAAATCTTCTTCATAGAAAAAGAAATTTAACATGGAGGACTGATTCAGAATTCGATGACGGAAAACTTAAACTCACTTAATCATTGCAATACCACAAAGGATGCAATCACCAGCTATGGTATCATTAATTTCATTGCGTACATGTTTCAGCTCTTGTTGAAAATCTATAACATATAAAACTCTATTTGAAACAACTTTAATAATGTTTTATAACAAAATGTTTTAAAAAGGAAATTTCTTGAATATCAAGTGTATTTACCATTTATTTTCTTTGGCGTCCAATTTGAAGATGTCGATTTTTCTAATTGCTTCTGCAATAATCTCTCCTTCTCAACCAAATTGCTATATTTTTCCTGTTCTTGCTGTAAAAAATAATTCTCCTACATTCAACATGAAACAATGGTGCACTACCATAGCATTTTAATTCGTTTCATTAATTGAAAGCTTAGTCCGTTAGATTTTATAGTGGTTGTTACAAAAAGATTTTTTTTGGAAGTTTAAAATACAATGAGAATATAGCACAAAAAAACAGTCTTCATTGGTAATATTCGACTTCTTTAAAAGTGCTTCAAGTTTAAAAAAGTTCCTTAAATTATATGCAATTTATACCTGAGTCCAATGAGATTTCATTTCGGATTCTAAGCAGTCTTTGTGGAAAAAATGTCGGCAAGTAAATGTATAAAACGGTCGAGTCATAACAGCTTCCAAACATGAGGCACACTGATCGTTCGAACGAATTATAGTGAATCGGAAAGAAAATGAAATTTAACTTTGTTGTTCATAATTGAAATTTTAAAGAGTATGAGGTCTAAGTTTCAGAGACACAAAAAATTGGTACTTATTCTTCGCTTTTTCCATATCACTGCGAACTCGCTGTGCCATTTCTGTTGCATTCTTCATTTCCAATTGCAGTTGCTGAAAAGGTGCAGGATATTACATGCGCATCATATGAGCTGAAATTTAGATTAGTTTTAAGATAAAGGAAAAAAAATTTTTTTTCCAGAAATAATTTATTGGAAATAGTTTAACCTTGATTTTTCCAGAGTGCTCCTTTAGACATTCACATAATGGTCCTTTAAAATACTCGATGGTTGTGAATTCTGGGAAGAATGGTAGTAAGTCCTGCAAGCAAAAAACTGCGCTGAAATTGATGATCCAAATGGTTTGAATTTTAAATTTATGTAAAGTAAACCGCAACACAACTGAAAATAAAATTAAAGTGGGAATTGAAAGTGAAACCAAAGGGTGAGATAAACCTGTATCTTGATAGTGTTGTCCGATTCCTTCAGCAGGCTTACGCATGCAGCTATATCTTTCTGCTTCTCAATTACATGTCGAGCTGCAAAAGTTTTTAATGGAAAATTAGCCAAGAAAAACAGCCAAGTGAGACAAACAAATGTCAACTTAGAGACCCTGTTCCAAATAAAAAAAACAAAATGTGCACCCTTTATAATAATTCATAGTGGGGAATCAGAGAAACATTTACATCAAAAATGCAGCAAAAAGGAGCTCAAAACTTAATCATACCAAATTCGAATTTATTCGACAAAACTAAGCTAAACATGAGTGGGAAATTCAGACCTATTTGGAGCCAAATCCTTCGTTGCATGTCCGTCGAGAATTTAGGCTTCGCTGAGCTAGGTAGCAAAAAATCACACTCATTTTCATTAGGTTTCATCATTTGCTTCGCACAACTTTTCGCCAATTCAACATCGATCTATAGAATACAAAAATTATAACTTCCGTTAATTTTTGTGAAATATAAGAACTCAAAAACGGGTACCGTTAAGGCAAGAGAAACAGCTTCGTCGTACAGTTCCCCAACGCAATACATAAAAACACAACATCGCTTCAGTGCTGAAACAAATGAAAATCAAAAGAATGAATGAATGAATTTTTAAGATCGAAATGTATGAAAACTGGAATGTTAGTTTAATATACCTTGCTTTTCGATACAAACTCTTAGGGCATATTCGACATCATATGGCACTAAATTTCTATCATAACCATATTTTTCAAAATAATTCAATAGCTCTTCTGGCTTGAATCTGAAAGAAATCAGCATTTCTAGCACGTTTATAGGTTCAACATGCAACAAATCAAAACGATAAAACTTACTCAGCACACAACGTTATCATAAAATTATGCATTGATTGGGTCGCCCAATTCTCATTTATTACGAAAGTGAGATATTTCAGAGCAGCCGTGACCTTAAATTAACTGTTTCGAAGAATCAAAATAAGTGTTTGAACAAAGATAATAAAAGAATAATTTTAAGAAACAAAGCACTCTTAATCTATATGTATTGAGATATTAGCTTTCAAAATCGATCTAAAATTTATATACCATTTTCGTTTTCGATACATCCTGACAACGATACAGCGCTGGCAATAGGCGATCTGACACAAGTGCCTTACCTTCTTCGATCCAAGCTGATATTAGTTCGGATGGTATTTTCTCGATTAATGTTGGAGAGTGCTTATAATAAAATTCCAAATTGTGCTAGAAGATGACACTTTTTTTAACAAAACTGACTTCTAAGCACCAAAACTCTTAAAATTAACTTTAAAATTTAAGTTAGAGCAATAACGCTGAAGTATCCTAAAGTCATCTAAAGTCTAAAATAACAAATAAATTAATTTCTTAATAATGAGGAATTTCACACTTTTACTTTTTGTTTATTTGCTACTAAAAAGTTATCACCTGTTTTCGTATCACTTCCAAAACTTTTTCATAGTCAGATTGTAGCAAATAAACATTTACAATCGTCGCATAATCTGAAACCTACATGTATTTCAAAAATGTATTTTGGCCAAAAGCTCAAAATTCTCGGAACAAAAATTTGAAGCAGCAAACCTTTCAGTTTTTGAGCAAGATAAAGCTGAATATCAAAATGTGCATGTGAAGTGATTAAATGATAGACTGCGTCACGATTTACCTCCACCGTTGCCTGAAAATTGATTGTTTTTCTTAAATTCCGAATGTCGATCCAAAGCACTTTGTTTGTTCACAATGAGGCGATAAATTCAATTTCGCTAATTACATGCTTTGCATTATTACTATTACCATTACGATACTGCCACAGAAAAGAATGTTTCTGTTGAATAAAACTTTTCTTCAGAACTTAGTCACAGTTATCTAAAGATTGTTCCAAGAACAACACTAACCAAAACAACAGAACGAGCAAGAAAGAGTTCAATTTGTTGACGCATGTTTTTGATTTGCTGTTCAATGGTTATTTCTTCCCTTCCTATCTCTGTTCCTTCCAGTTGTACTCGCTTTTCATTTTGACGTAACTCTGCGAATTCTGTCAATTGCACTTCCAATAACCATAAAACCAAAGCATCTCGTTGTATCTTATCCTAAAAAATTCATACTTATTCTACAATGGGAATTCAAAAATGAAAGGTTTTCAGAAAGTATAAACTTTTCTTTTATAAATTAAAATTAACACCTCTGTATTTGATATCGACTTTAATTTCAGTTCCAAGAAACGTTTGAGACCATTACGCCGATCCTCCTTAGTTGATAAAAATTTAAGCAATATAACTTCAAAAGGATCGGTTGATTCTGTAAGAATTTCCGCAGCAGCTGTGAAACTAAAAACTTTATGCTACTTTTCACAATTTTTGGAAGAAATTGAAAAAGTCTTTTTCTCTATATCCACCATTTTAAAATTAATGAAAGCGATGAAATGTAAATGTGCATATTAAAATGTAGAATGAAATTATACTTTTTTTCTGCAATGTATTTTTCGGCTTCCTTCTTAATAACTAGCTGATGTGGTGCTGGATTGCTCAACTTATTTGTGATAGCTCGTGCTTTACCGTACTCACCACGTTCCAAATAGATCTGCCAAATATCTCTGAAAAGGAATAGAATTTCATAATCAAACAAATCCAAAAAATAAGAATTATTACTGTTCGAGTCACTGCAGCAAAATAAACACCTGAATTCTTCATTTGGCCGATACTTCCACACAGTAGCGTCAGTATATACCCAAATCATTTCGGATACAGCATCACGGCACATTCCTTTTACTTGGCCAGATTCCTGGAAAGAACATATATTTGAAAACGAAAATTATTAGGGGATATCAAATTTGAATTAGATTACCATTCATCACAAAACAAGTGTTTTTCATTTTAACTAAAATCACTTAACTAACCGTTCCAATCATATCATCAAACATTAGCTTCTGATTGAGTAATGAAATAGCTTCAATACGATTACTATACAACAGCAAAACGTTATATTCTGTTAATGCAACATCCAAAGGATAACTGTAACGTCCATCTATCAATTGATGTCTGAAATCTGCTACTAAAAATTCCTTACAAATTACATCGAAAGTTAATATTTTTAGCAGATTTTATTACATTAATTTGTTCAACACGAGAAATGTTTTCGGATGATTTTCGTAAATAAGTAAAGAAGAATAAATCACCGCTATCTTTACGGTATGTACCCTCATAAATCATTTGTAAATTTTTTAAATTCTACCCTAAGTAGTCTAGAGAGACAACTTACTGTATATGTGTTTCTTCAACAATCATGTCATATGCTTCTGAAACTGTTAAATCTATTCGTCCTAATGTGTAGCCATCAGCACCGACCCAACAAAATGTAGTGGGTAGTTCATTGCTCACTTTTGGATAAACAACAAAAGTGCTCGGCAAATTTCGTTGTCCATCATCCATAGAATGAAAACGAAGCGGTGCTAAAAACGCTCGACATAAATTTTACCGAATCAATAACATAAATAACAAGAGATCAAAACTGAAACGATTTAGTAAATCATAAATATTATATATATGCAAATTTATGGAAAATAATTCTATCAAATGTGGTCAAAATACAGAAATGTGAGTCGATTCAAGCGGTAAAACAAGCCAATATACTTGAAAATTAGGAAAAAAACAGTAATTATTTAATAATAATTAACCTTTTGATGCAAATAAAGGTTGTAAAACAGCAGGATTATGTTCAGCAAAAGCAGAGCTCCAAATTGTGCTCACAACTGGCTGTACTCCAATAACATCATGCTTCGTATTGATTTGTCCGCTCAAACAATACAATCTTCCGGGAAGGCATACAAATAGAGCCCATCTGGGAAAAGATAAAATTATGTTCAAATTCCAATTTTATTTGAAAATACAATTTTCCTTTGCTACCGTAAAAAGTGCTTCGTTATTACTCAGAAAAATTAGAGTTGGAAGAGTAACTCTATAAATCTAAATATTGCATTTTTTTTTGTAATTTCATGAAAAATCATAGGAAAATAACTCAGTACAAGTAAATGAAAAAAAATTCAGCGGGAAAACTACCTTGACCTTTGGTTTTCATCCTCACATTGACACATCTCAATTCCGGTCACCGACAAATCTTTTACTCCGCTTAAATTATTGGTCAGTTCACGAACATAAGCAACTGTTCCATTTGAAATAACAGATGATTCAAACAGACAACCTGTATTTTGAAATTTTTAAAACAATGCCGAACTTCAAGTGACAGATAGTAAATGTATGAAGAAGTGTGTTAAAAAGTATCAAAATTTAAGTGGGCAACGGAAGTACCATTTTTTCCTCAGAAGCTTTCAAAAAGTTGATAATTCTACTATTCACAAAAATTCTCAGGTATTTCCAAACATAATTTGAAACATTAACTTCTATTAGTCTCTTTTCAATTTATCTTTTCAGATTTATCTTTTCAGATAAATCTCTTTTCAATTAATGATTAATCTGGTCATAATTAAATACCATAAAATCACCTTTCGTAGTACCCAAGACGATGAAACCTGTTTCGTTGTCTGTTGAAATTTCCATATTCCAACCTATGGAACTTACCACATGTCCCTAGAAAATCTTTCAAACATTTCCTAAAGATTTTAATATTTTGAGGTCATTCAAAATCTTTTTTATAAAATAAAGCCTTAAAGTTATAGACACTCTTAGGATTTCTTCCAAACACCAATATTCCTACAAAATTAAATTTTGTGTAGCATAGAAACACTTTACTTTCAACTTTTTTATTTGTTTCGCTGAATCATGTTTCAAATTCAAGTAAAAATTATCGGCACCAGTTGTACTTATGATTGCATGACGACCATTAGGGCTGAGATGAATATAGGCAATACGATCATGTATTAATAACGGCAAAATAACATCTGCAATACAGTTTAATTTAGTAAACAATTTTATTGCGGGCTTAAAAAACTACTGATCTCATTTAGTAAAACAAAAATTTAATAAGATCATAAATTCAAAGTTAACGCAAAACTCGAAAATATTTCCAGCCCAACTAATGTATGTGTTATGCTTAAAACGCTTACCTTACGATGCAATAAAAAAACAGAACATCACAAACTATATCACTCATCTTCATCAAATTAGATGAAATCAGACATTGTGAAAATTTGAATATTAAACTTTAAATCAAAAAGCACTCAGTCTCAAATTTGAAAGAAGAAACCGAACTGATAAAAAATCACTAAATTCTTTTGCAGAATGTTGCTAAAATCAACTGCGATAATCTCACCTATTTGCCTGCTAATATTTTGAAGTGGATAATGAAAAAGTTGCCGTGCATCGATTACCAGCAACATTTCACCATTGCTCGAACATAAATGAGTGATTTGACCCTTCGGTCTGAAATTCATTTTATGTGAAATTCCAGAATTCTAGGAAAGAAAATCATTTTAGCAACACGATAGTTAAATATTACTTACCGAAAATCAATCACTTTCTTGATAAATATTGCACTACTGCTCGGCGTGCTTGGACTCTCCATCTGAGCAAATTTCAAGTTACACGGATCAAGTTACTAAGTTCCTTGTCAATAGTCATACAGCAATGTAGATATATACTGAAACGTATATGTCAGCATTCGAAGTTATTAATAAATACTTGTATTTGAGAGTTAAAAATTCCAAAAGAATGCACAGCAGATTCAGAAGGAACTTTATGTGTAATCGAGAACGAAAGCAATAACAGAAAAACAAGAAAGGAAATATATTTCAATATCACGTTGTTCAGCGTTATCCATGAAGGTAGTTTGCAACAGGAGAGATCGAAGATCAAATCCTTGAAGACATAGTCACCGTATAGTCCTCTGCGACATGCTCACACTGCAATGTTTGTTTTTCTTCCAAACGCATTATGTTTATCCATAGTTTTAAAAATGTCTCCTAGAAATGATTTGTTCTTCATTTCAGAATTCTGTTAAGTCTCAAACATCAAATTGTGTTACTACATCTAAATCTTTCCTTTTACTTCTACTCGAGTAATTAATGGCGTGGATGCGATCTATTTATCAGATACTTACTAATAAAGAATAAATCCGAGTATAGGTACCCATATAAGTTTACTATCAGTTAAAGGATTAGGAAGTGGATATGCCATATAACACGAAATAGCGCATAGTACTCAGAAGGATCCTTGGAAGAACAGGGAGACAAAGCAGTATCCTACCTTTTTGTACGTTCCTCTGAGCTGTTACATACTTCTTAGTCCTATAAAGTTTGTACAAACCATAATATAAATACCGAGCATCCCGAATGACCAGAATAAGTGATAAAAGATAATGGGAGAACTGAGTGAGATTTATGATCTCATCCCTTCCTAAGCTGTTCTTCTATTTGTTGCATAGAGTGACTCTTTTCTCGAAAATGCGTGATCCCAAACATTGATCGACTTAAACATATCTCTTGCGTCATTTGCCCCTCAGAAAAGGTCAAGTTGTTTCAAGAATTAATGAAGCCGTAATATCTCACTACAAATTATTCATCTCCGAGCCTTATTTTTACTCATATTATTATCTGGCTCGCAGTTCACTGAGATAATCTGCACATATCAACAATTACCGAACGAGAAGTTGCTAATTCAAAGAAGCATATATCTTCAACTTCTCGTCTTAATCGATGCTTTGTATGAATCATCCGCTTTGTATAGTCGTAAAATGATCGCAGCAATGATGTTTTTTGAATAATCTAATTTCATTCTACTACTTCATCTTGACACTTTACAATTATCTCTTATAACTTCTAGTATTTATGCAGGGCATTTTATCGATTGATTGATTCATCACAGCCATGAAATATATCAATAAAATGGTACATATTGTCGTTACATAAAGATATGAACTGGGTGGCATTTGTGGAAAAAAAGCGAAAAGTTCATTTGAATCATTCGATGTACTCTTTTGCAAGTTCATCACAAACAATAGCGATAGTAATGATAATTATGATAACATTAAATTAGCTTGCTATAATTATTCATCCGAAGATATTAACAATAAAGTAACCTTTAATATAATTCGATTGCAATGAATTCACAGAAAAAGTCATTGTAAATTAATTGTCGACATTTTATGATAATGCAACATCATTTATCAACATACATTCTAAGCATTATATTCTCTACAGATACAGTATTTAAATGAATCATAGATTGTTGAGAACAACGAAAAATGTAATTTTATAGATGCACACATTAAGAATTTTAAATTATATACAGTCCCAAATTTCCATGTACTTACATATTGCCAAGTACATCAAAGATTTTTACCGGAATGAGTGAAACGATCATTAAAAGTTTATGAATGTAGAAATACAGCCATTCCGGATAATCCATATAGCAAATGCAGAAATGAGTAATATTCAACAAGGAATAGTCCAATGATATCTATCAATTCTTATTCTATTCATATTCTTGAGCAACTTCCGGAAATATCAACATAAATGTTTAAAATCATTTAATCCTCTCCTGTTTGTGTCATTCGCGCTAACAAAGAAAAAGATGTGAAATTAGAAGCATTTTTTCATAATCTTTAGTAGCAGAATCCACGGTCGCTCAATTTCAGAATCCACGATCGCTCAATTTCAGAACCCACGGCCGCTCAACATATTTATTGAAAAAAAGAAAAGTTAAAAAAATTATATTTACTTATTTATTCTGTTTACCTTACTTTAATTATAAATTATAATTATCTTTAATCATAATTTTATTTTAATCATAAATGGATACCGAATATGAATTACTTACTAATAATCTGCACATTCCGGTTCTCAACCAATATTCAACGAATCATTTTTTCGTGCATATTTCTATTTCTCACATATGCCTATTTTATCGGATACTGAAATTCGATTTTTTCTTTGAATGTTTAAGAATTTGATCCATTTTAGTGATATTTCTTTTTTGAATAATTCACATTCCAGTATAATAATTTGGTTGAAAAATTAATAAATTTTATTTGATTTCCATTTTTTATAAAAATGCAATAAATTTTTTTTTAAATCTTTTATCTTTCCGATTTTAATATAATCCTTCAAATTACTCACACTAAAATAGAAATGAGAATGATAGAAAGATCTAAAACTGGAAGCAAGAGATTATTGCTTTCTTTTTTTTTGTTGAAATTTTATCAATTCTTTCTGATTTTAATGTTAATCAAATAATCAAACAATATATGATAATATAAAAGTTCACTTAAAAATTTTCTATTTTTCAAGTTCAACTCTTACAATGAATTAAATTACAAATAGGAATTATTATAATTCATACTGATATAATTTGCTAATGTTAATTAATTCATGATACGAATATCTACCAGACTATGATCTCTTCATTCTTATCATACGAATATCTACCAGACTGTAATCTCTTCATTCTACTTTTCTCAATCTCTCTGCTTATGATAATTTTAATAATATTTAATTTATAGTTTTTTTCTTTTTTAACTTCAACAATATTATAATCTCATAAATTAGAAAAATTAAATTTTGGCATTTTTATTCTCTATCATTTTTTTTGACATTTTCCAACTATATAAAATGGGTGGTGATTGGATAAATTTATCTTATTAAATAAACATTTCTATAAATACACTAAACTGTCAACAATTAATTGTTGAAATTTTCGGATAAAAATTAAATAAACATTTCTATAAATATACTAAACTGTCAACAATTAACTTTCCGACAAAAATAAGCAAAATATTCTTTTATTCATTTTATTCTTTAACTAATTTTTACATATAAATGAGAAATAAGCCTTAAAAAATCTTTTCCAAAATTTCATATTTTCAGTAAGAAAAAATTAAAAATGGAAAAACAATAAATTTTAAAATAAACTAAAAATTTCACATTTCTTCCACTATTAATGTATTTTTTGCTTTTTGTTTCATATAAAATTATTGAATTCTTTTTTTCATTTAATTATACCATTGAAATGATTCATTGATATTTTTATTCTTTTATATCTTCAATATATTAATTTTTGTTAATTACAAAATTATCTCTTGTTGACAGCGTTTGTCTATTAAGAAATTTTCCTTTTTCCCACTACCATACTGTATGTATTATCATTTCCTACATCAAAAAACTTTTTAAAACAAACAGGAAGAATTTGTATGAGTTAAAATTTAATGAGAGATAATATTGGTCACAATGAAAATAATAATGAATCATTGGAAGTTTTTTTTTAAGTATAGCAATCGGTAAATACTTAAGCTTACACAATATAATATAATCTTCCTACAGCTCCCAATAGAATTAGAATCTGTCACTTAAAGAGGAAGAGAAAAATCCAGTTTGCATTAATGAGAATGATTTTAAACTTTGGAACAGAAATTCTTTCTTCTTTTCTGTTTTTTATTTTAATAAAAAATTTATTGGTAGCTAATTTAATTTCAAAGATATAAATAGAACTTTTTTTTATACTATTCTTACTTATACCATTAATTCTATTTACAAATATTAAGGAATAAAAGAAAAGAGAGAATTTATGAAGTAAACAGGAAAGAATTAAAAGTTAGAAATTTTGATAAATGCAAATTAAAGTTTAAAATACAGTATTGGAATTTAAATGATAAAGAAATGATATTATCTCAGAGGATAATTGATAAGTGAAAATCATGTTTAGATATGGTTTGAAATAATTCCACAGAAGAAACTAAAATTTCAACCTTCAGATATTTGTATGTCAATTATAAATTACTGGGATAATAATATGAAATATTTATAAAAGGCTAAATTATTGTTTTAAATAAATATTATTTAAAGCATAAAGTTATGAATGAAATTTTTTATATTTTCGAAATTACAAATTTATAATTTTAGAGAAAAATCTTTCGACAAAAAAACGCTAAATATTGTTTTAATGCTAAGTATTTAATTAATTAGCATTCCGAAATGCTTCAATGTAATTTTGCACAAACTGACTAATTTGTCGTAAAAATGAAGTTTGAATGAGGAAAAGAATATTTGATGAAAGGAGAGGAATAAGAAGAAAAGTGAATTAGATGAAATTAGATTTGTTAATGATAAGTAACATGCTTCGAACATTGGGGTGTTGAACTTTTAAAGTTTAGCTTAAAGTGATAGTTAAGATGTGATTATCAGTAAATGAAAAGATTAGAGATTTGAGTATTTTTTAGTATCATTGTTATCATCCCTTTATTACTCATTTGTTTTTTGTCAATGCAAATGTCCCCAACTTCATTTTCAATTTGATTTGTAGACTTAATCGAGAACAGAGAGAAGCAAAGAAAGAGTGAAATGATTTAGAAGTAAAGAGAACTTTGACGATATGTAAATATGCAAAACTTCCATCTTAACAGTTTAAGGAGTAATATTTTAATTTCTGCGTTCAGAGCACACAATACTGTAACTTACATATTATGATTGATTTATTATAAATCGATATTATTTATACATTTCCATTTCATCTTGAATTCACATCTTTTCTAATCAGCGATATCTTTCACTTACAGTTTTTCATATTTACATT